TGTTTGGCCGGTCTATGGTTGTGGCCTGTGGGTTTTCAGGTGTCTAATAATTTGGCTATAGTGGGAACCCAAGAGAGAGTCATGGTTTTGACAATATAGTTCTTGCGAGCCAATAGGTTCCTCACCTTGTGGGGTGTGTTTGGATACGTGGTGGCTCCTTGAGCTAGGCTTGTAACATTTTAACTTAGAAAAAAAAAAAAAAAGAGGAGTTCAATTCCAGCTCAAGGAGGAATGCGATGTTGGTTGGGACTTGGGAGGTTTTTAAATATGGATATTGATGGACTTGTCCACCCTTTTTGATTTTGTGGGGAAGGGCTTGTCCATAGAGACTTTTTGGGGGGGGGGGGTCCTCCCAGACCCTGTTCCAAGGGCTTTTCAGCTTTTAAGGCCGGTACCGGTATGGCCTGATGATGGTTGAGGATCATCAACAGCAAAATGATGGATTTTTTTAAGGAAAATGATTTTTCAACTTAACAGCTACCCAATTATTGCGGAATGATAGTACGTAAATAGTACATTATTACTACGAGCATCGACCATTAGTACAGAAGACTTGTAAGTAGCCTGCCTGCTTGCCCTCCTTTTTATTAAAAATAAAATAAAATACGTACTCCTCTGCTGTTTGACCGACCGGTCAGTCTGACCACTTTGGGAGGGAAGCCCCGCCTCCGTTACAGCCTTGCAGCTTCGCAACTTTCTGACTTTAGCAATGCCATGAGCAAACGGCTTCAACAATCAATATTAATACTAGTGTACTAACACTTCTATGTTTTTTTTTTTAAAAAAAAAAAAAATTTCACTTCCATTATCATTTTAATTATACAGTTTTAATTGATTAGATTATATGATCAAACTAATGATGAAAGTGCAAATAACAAAAATGGAAGTGTAAATACTAACATTTTACTTTATTTTTAATAACAAGAATTGCTATGCTATTCGATTAGATTAGATTAGATTTGAGGTGATTCTAATTTGAGTTTTAGTAAACAAAATATCCACATAGGAGAGAGTAAAAACTAAAAGCAAAAGGAGATTAAAACTTTAGCATTAGTCGTAGAATTTTTTTAATTCGTTAATTAATTGGGGAATAATCTTATAGGGGGCATTAAAGAAAATATCCACATACTACAAATGCATGAACTTTCAAATACTAAGAGGATTCTTTTAACATGTGTCCAATAAGTGTCTGGTTAGTCCGCTTAATTTATCTAATTTACCATTTAAATGCAGACAACCATATTTATGGTCTTCTTGCATTTAGTCATTCCTCAACCTAACTTTAAATTTCTAAAAAACTAACACATGATTAACACGTGTTTGATGGAATCACGTTTTACCATGAACTAGTCTTTTTCTCCTCTTGACTATCAGATTATTTACCAAATTTTATTTGCTTGCATTATCAACGCATTATTTAGTCACCTTTTAATTTCATATACATCACATCAAAAAGCTGCTGTAATATTTTTTTTTTGCAGAAGAAAAATTATTCCAAATAATCTACTGTCCCAAACCACTCACTAATTGGAGTACTTGTCAAAGCAATACTTCTATGCGCATATATATATATAAAAAAATGCTTTCCAAGACTTTGATATGATATATCAAACGGTGAAACTGCAAGCATGGAGTTGGGGGAAAGAAACAGTGGGGGGAACATGAGATGCGGATTCACAAACAAAAAAGGGTTCATCAATAATGGTAGTGGAATGGTCAGATAAGAAGAACATTCAACCAACGAACAGATGAAATTATTTCAATCTAAACTGTTCCAACGGAATTGTAGCACAGCACATTACACTACTTATTTCACCAACTCGCAGAGTTTTCTGAAAAGGAAGCTGGACGACCATTTAAGTTCCATACAAACTGGACCATATATTCCATAAATGTTGTACCTAAGGAGACTGAAATTTAGTAATGGTTTTAGTTGAATGTAGTCCCACCCGTATGAATCCTATGCAAATGAAGTTGATTCTTCAGAATCGCAACATCTACATCCATTTTACACCTGATTTTTTGTCTCTCGTGATCCAGTCGTTGCTTTCTTGAATGTTAATTTGACCTTTATTACGTCCTATAGCAGAAGAAAATCTATTTGTTTTGATTGGCTCTTACTATATTACAAGATAGAAAAATGCTTAACGACCCAGTCTTCTCCATCATACTTTTAGCATTAGCTTTTAACTTTAATCGGCTCTCGTAAAACGTCATTAACCATGGGGTACGGTGAATTTATTTCATACTCCTATTTGAAGGGTTTTACAGGTAAGTTCTGAAGACCTCAGTCTAATAAATCAAATTTCTGAAGACCCCAGTCTAGCAATTAAAATTGAAATCTCACTAATTACAAGTCCTGCAGTCAAATTTTCCGGTTATCTCTCAACTTCTTTAAATCTCACCCTCTCTCCTGCCAAAAAAAATTCTGAAAAAAATCTTATGTTAAAAATTAGGGATGGCAATGGGGGCGGGTGGCCACGCGAGGGATTAATGGGGCGGGGGATGGGAGAGTGTACTTCTGCCCCATCCCCCGCCCCGCCATCCGCTTTAAAAAAATAAATATATAAAATATATATGTATATAATTATATATAGATATATAATTTAATTAGTTACAAATTTATGATAATGATATTATTAGTTATATGTATTATATAATGTCTATTAGTATATATAATATAATTGATATTATTAATTATACTAATAATTATACATGTGTACTAATACAAATTATTAATTGATTATACTAAATTTACTAATACATTTATACTAAATCCCTAATCACACTTAATACAATAACATTTTTTTCTTAAAAAAAGCACAAGCACAATAATAAATTAGTGATTGTATTTGTGTCAAAAGTGAAAACTTGACTACTTTAGTTATATTTATTTCATCATGTTGGATTGTATTCAAATAATTTTTATTTGATTGTTTTTACAAGTTTCAATTGTAAAATTATAATGAATAATAATTTGATGATGTGTTGATATTTTAATATTTGATTATTTGCTAAATTTTAACTATAATAAAATTATATAATAAATTTTTATTAGCCCCGCCGGGACACCCGCGAGAAAAGCGGGACGGGGCGAGGGGAGTGGGAGACGGGGGATGGGGCGGGGGCGGGGGCGAGTGGAGTTTGTAGGCAGCGGCCCTGCCCTAACCCCGCCCCGTTGCCATCCCTATTAAAAATGATAGTGAAAGTGTCATTAACAAAAAGTTGACTGCAACAAAAAAAAAAAAAAGTTGACTGCACTGAACAATTCTCTTTAAAATTGGAAATGTTAAAATTTAAAGCCGCGACGTGTAAAAGTGGGGAACCGAAGACGACGATTGATGGGCTAAGAATAAAAAGCCGCGGCAGCTAAGCTGTACGCTAGTGAATTAGTGAGGAAACTTCGCATTTTGTGGTATCGAAATCGGCGCCATTTCCGACTGCTTTTTCCTTTTCTTTTCTCCATAGATTTCTTTCTATAACTCGGCAATTGTTTTATCCATTATGTCGAACTTTCACCTTTTCTTTTTCAAAAGTTTTTCTCCACAGAATTAATTTAATTCTGCAACATGTGATAATATTCATGAGTGCATTTTTTATCACAATAATTACCTCATTTGCAGCACCATTGTATGGTTTTTGCCGGGGGGCTGGGAATCCTTGAGTGTGTTGTGTTGTGTTGGTTGAACTACCGGTGCCACGGCAGACTAGTTCTATTTCCCTTTTCCTAATTTATGGCCATTTAATTTTTGTTTCAACGTGATCTTTCTTTGGTGGTTAGAAAAAAAAAAATTATAAATGCACTTCCATCTCCAATTTTAAACTTTATTGTTGAAATCTTTGCCCCTAAAATATGAAATCTATTTCACTTTAGTTCTTAAACTTCAGCTTTGGACACATCACCTTTTAAAGTATGAAATTCATTCCATTTTAGTCCGTTACTTTTGATGCTTCGGGGGATAAATTTCATATTTTAAGCGATAAAGTGTCAAAAATAGAAGTATAAGGATGAAAGCGGATAAAATTTCTGTAGCAAGTAAAGTGTCCAAAAATAAAATTTAAGGATTTACATGAGAATGCATTTATAGTTTAAGAGTGCAAAGTAAAATCTAGCCTAACTTATTATTCAGATTTCTAAAATAAATTGACAGGACTGACCCTTTTTTTTTTTTTTTTATAAATCTATCTAGTTGATAATTTAAAATCTAAATAACTTGTTCAACACCTTAACGAAACTGTTCCGGGTTGTCTGGTCTTTGCCAGAATCACATAGCTTGACAATCCTTCCAGGTTCAGTTTAAAAAGGATCATTCAACGGTTTATTTGTTCGGCTGCACAGATTCTTAAAATATTGCAGCTGTGCCAGATACTGTATTGTCCTAACTTCGTCAATGATTTTGTACTCAAATTGCAAGCTGCTTATTAGAAACTTTCAATGAAATTCAGATCACCCCGGTTTGCCAGTGGTTTGGCCATTTCTATGAATTTAGTTGAAGCCCTTGCTGCATTTTGTATCAGCTTTCGATACATTAGATTTTCACATACAAATCACAGTTGAATTCTCCAACGAAAACTTGCTCCCTATAAGCTTACATTTTTTCCAGGCTACATTTCTTGACATATATGTATACGTGGCAAGAAACGTCTGCTTTTTAACTGCCTGAGTGATTTTGTTGAGCTCCAATGGCTGATCCTGCTTTCTCGTTCTTCAGCTTGGTGCTTCTTGAATAAATTTAGGCGTGCCTTTTCAAGCAATCAAAGTTTCAGTTCTTAAGTGTCTAAGTGCGAACAAAACTAGTTCATTCTGGCATTCTGGTATTCAGCATTGTACTTTTGCATATGGCATTTATACTATTACTAATTTGTTTGACTTTTGGACGTCGCGTCTGGTTTTTTCTTTCTGTGCTTCTCCTACTTACTGTTTGTCTGAAGTCCGAATACTTATGGGCCATGGCTAAAGTGCAGAAGGTATATGATTGGCCTGCGCAACACTAGAGATATAGTCAAGATCGATGAAACCATGCAGAACTAAATTGAGTATCCCATTTCTCTTGCTGAGTTCATCATCATTGGTTGAAGTTTACAGGAATCAACCATGTGGAATAATTGTACTACCTTTAGTTCCAAAGAAACAGTTCAGGCAGGGGCTAAGAAGTGATTCATTACCATCACAGCAAAAAAGGCAAAAAGAAAAATAGGAACAGAAGAAGATGCCATTTCGCACACAGTATCAGACCTTCTGCATTACACTTACTCGATGCAAAATGACGGGGCTTTCACTTGCTCATGCCCGTTCTGCATCCTAAATTTCTTTAGCAGGAATTTGTGATTCATTACCTGTCTAGACGTAAGGAAATAAGTTCTGGAGGCGCCAAGTTGACAGCTTCTGCAGTTATGCCTGAATGGCAAATACAAAACACGCTTAGTGGTAGTGCATAATTTGTTAGGGAATGGAGATCGGGTAGGATCTAAGTATTCAGTTTAATTGGGAAAATTCTAGAGAATCAAGATGCCATGTTTGTTAGCTTGCCTTGCTTGAGATATTGCTAGACAACCAATCTAGGCCCTCGTAGAGTCCCTGACCCGAAGTTGCGCAGGCACTCTGGATATACCTGCATCAGTCATATCCTATAACATAAATCCCATAGAGTAACTCCTCAGGATTTCTTAGAACCGTGTTATGGTGTTTTTATGTAGTCTTATAGTTTCTCTTTGTGCACATAATTGCTGATGTGTCTAAACAGCAATACTTTAGGCAGATCGATTGCACAGGTTTAGTCGTGCATACCAGCGGCGCTGACGGAGTGAGTGGAGGCCAAGTTTATCTGTGATTTCAGAGACTCTCATGGCATTTGGGAGATCTTGCTTATTGGCAAAGACAAGAAGGATGGCATCACGTAGTTCCTCCTAGGAAAAGAGAAGCAAATTGTGGGCATGAATCTCATGACAACTACTTCGTGGAGGATTTTTTTTTTTTTTTACTTTTTTTGGGTAAGCACTTCGTGTAGGATAGTCGATTCGTGTTAAGCGTTCCACACAACGTACCTCATTAAGCATTCGATGGAGCTCATCTCTTGCTTCTGAAATTCTTTCTTTGTCATTACTATCAACTACGAAAATAAGGCCCTGAGTGTTCTGAAAGTAGTGCCTCCATAAAGGTCGAATCTGTAGATGAATGAGTATAGTAGTAAGAGAAGCTCTTTCGATGTGTGATTAGCATGCCTGATATGCAGATAGCAGTGATTTGTAACGCATGCGTGCATGAGGAGACCATAAGACGTGCATGGGTTTTGCCCTTGGCTAGTTAAGATTTTTGCCAATTGATTTTCATAAGTAAAGAAAGATTAGGTAATTGATAACAAAAAGTACCTTATCCTGTCCTCCTACATCCCATACTGTGAAACTTGCGTTTTTGTATTCCACTGTCTCTACATTGAAGCCTGTTTGATCCCAAAAAACCGTTGAGACCAGATACATCATACAATTTTCAAGTTTTACAAGCACCCTCTGGGCAAACAAATTTAATTAGGGAAGATTGAGAGCTCTGTGTAGGATAAATACAACATCCTAGTTAGCAATCCATGTAACTAGTGCTCACATATGAACTTGAAACACATACACAACACACACAGTAAGAAGTTCCAAGCAGATACCTATAGTGGGGATGGTAGTAACAATCTCTCCAAGCTTTAACTTGTACAGAATAGTAGTTTTGCCAGCGGCATCAAGACCAACCATCAGAATCCTCATTTCTTTCTTCGCAAAGAGCATTTTTGCAAACCTTGATATTGCCAAACCCATTTCTGTACCAAATAATCAGGAAACTAGAAAAAGAAAATTAGGTACGTCGTACTTTAAGCTGTCCAAATTCACTCACTTGAAAAATTTAGTAGAAGATGCCAGTGGAGACACACAGAAAATGCATTGCTTTCTGTTCTTGCTTGTATTTAATTGACGAACGTGCTGAGAAGCATAAAGAGGAAAGGTGGATGGGATTCAGCCAGGGGCCGAGGTAGAATAAAGGGCACTGAATTGTTATGCCTTCGGCTGTGAAGAAAAATTCGATTTGACATATTCCTGGAATAGCCTAATATCAGTCCAGACGAGTGACATGAGCTGAGATTCGCTCTTTGAGTTGGACGTTTATAGAATCTAATGACGCCCAATTTGCAGGGAATCGGATTCACTTTTGTTTTGGATGAAGAGCACCACATAAAAGTAAACTAGTTGGCTGGTATTTCCTTTCAAGATTGCTTTCTTCGCTTGGACTTCTATTACGCACCGTAACGTGCTCTACATCACCATATGCTGATATTGGTGTGTGGTTTACGGGATCATCTCGCTTGACGGTTAATCCTTTTTGTGGGGATCATGATTACGTGCTACATTGTTTTTTTACTTCCCTTGGCATTAAGAATTACGAAGAGGCCTTTCTGGCCAGCTTCTTCAGGAATTGATAATCGTCAATCCTGACCTTTGATAATAAAAGCATCAACAAGGGGTTTAATACATTAATGTCAATATATAGGCATGTTCATGGCTGCCAAGGCTTGCTACTTAAACGTGTTACCGTCGACGGATGCCAACCAAGGTACGAGCAAATGAAATGGAAATGGGGGCATAAGTCATAACATGTGACGTGCCCATAACATTGGTAATCAGATTGACTATAGAGAGAGCAAATAAAGATAACCAACATTCCATAGACAGCAAGGGAAAACAGATAGTAAATCATAAGCCATCTTCTACTATAAATTTAAAGAAGGCGTTATCCTTGGCCTGGAGGTGGAGTGATGAGTCGTAAAAACACTGTCCAATCAAACATGAAATTCTTGAACTAGAACTAAACCTGAATAAACAAGCGAAAGCCGACACAGAGATGAAGTATAGCAATAGAAGTGCCTAAAAAAAAAAGGGGCCTATTGTGAAGTTACTTCCGAGAGATAGCCTCCTTGGCAGACTCTAAGGTTGAGGCAATGGAAGCAGCAGCATTGGCCAAGACACCGCCACTAGTTTTTGAATCCGGGGATGAGTCGTGATGCTGATGTATGACCTGCACTGGCTTCTGGTCTAGGCCTCCTCCGGCAGATGACCTATAATCTGTTGAGTCCGCCCTCCTCTCATCCTGACCTTGTGCATTTACAGCGCCAGTTTCCTAGCACAACAAGAACCTAAATAAATCATTTATGCAATAAATTAATTCGATGCGGAAATTATTAGTGAAACATGCTGTCCAACATGGATACATGTACCTACAGTCTTACCCTGTTCCCCGATGGGTTCATACTGCTGACGTTGGTGATGGGTTGTCCTAAATTTAGAAAACGAGGTCTTGACTGCGTTTGTTTGGGCTTTTAACGTTCCAAATGAAACATTTTTTCACATTTATTTATGCGTGCATTGGCCGAATCTGTTGGCAGTCCAAGGAAGAAAAAGTCTTTAGGATTTAGCAGCAACCAACCGAAGGCGATTACTGCGTTTCAGTTATGGCCAAAGTTTTTTCAAAAATTTTCCCCTTCCGTGTTTTACATAGTTGTGATGGAAAGATTATAGCTCTTCAAAGCGGCAGCCAAAGATTATAGTTAAGCGAAGAGATGTACTTGCCATTAACCAGGAAGTTGGTCTAACAAAATAATTTTGCCAAGATGAGACATTTGGCTTCTCCAGCTCCTCCATTATCTTTTTCAATACCACCACTCCGACCCCATAAGCATCCACCCTCATTGCGTTGCATTGAGGAGAAAGGACACAACCATGTCATCACAAGGGGTTCTGCACCAGTAAACCTCTTGGCTTGCATAACAACTGATACTACATAATAGATTGAATTAAATTCGCTCGTTTCTCTCTTATTATTATGTTTTGGCTCAAAAATGCCAACGTTATACAACCACTTCGTGAAATTCACCTGATGGCACTTGAACATATTTCTGGGCATGTAATAAAATTGTAACTACTAGCTAATAATCAGCTAGCTTTTGAAGTTGGTTAAAAACTTACTGTTTTTTAAGACCTTAGGTTAAATGGTGCAAGGTATTGCCTAGAGCTACCATGGAAGTAAGCCTTATTCTGCTGATAAATCCTAAATGAAGTGCTCAAGGACCTCTTCTTACAAAAATACATTTCCAGTTATGCAGCATGTCCCTAAGATATACCCAGACAGTAGTTCCTACTTTATGTTCTAAGTAGGACTAGTTGCAACTAAAAGAAGCAAAAACTTTGAGATACACTAAGTAGTTTTTGAACAGACAACAATGACTAGCATAGCTGCTAGATTGTGTACACCATTGAAGTCCAAATTCTCATAGACAATCAATATGTCACCAGGGGTGATCCACTGCAATGGACATCAGAAGCATCAGAAATCCTTTGCCTCGGGGACAAGGTACTGTTTGCAGCTGCATCCACATCAACATTGATGAAACTTTTCCTCTTTTGAGTTTCTAGTTTCAGCAGGTCTTCCTCCTCCTCAGGTATGGTATCCAATGGTTCTATTTGCTGCTGGTTCTGAGATATCATAGCTTGAGCTTCTGCAACCACTGAAGCATCATCATCTGTGGCATATAGAATCCTCTTTATTGCCTCAACCACCTGCAACATAGAATGCTATCAGATGAAGCATTTAACCACAAAACCCTATGCTTGTACAATTGCTGAAATTAAGATGGTTGGAGAATACTACAGGTAGGTTTTCAATCTCAGGGCACTGGCACAAGATTTCAATGTCCCTCAACTTGGCGAAGTAGAAGTCCCTCTCCTTCTCAAGACTATCCACAGATAATTTCAACTCTGTTATCTGCATTAGTACATATTCATTACCCCTTGAAGCCTCAATATTCTCAGATCAAAATCATTTTCATAGTGGACGAAGTACCTGTTGTTCATATGCAGTTCGTTCGGCTTCAGAATAGACTGAAGACCCTCCGCTTGAAGAAGGCCTAGAGGACTTGACAGCTTGACTTGCAATATTGACATGTGGTGCATCACTTCTTCGAGCATTGTGAGGAGCATGTTTGGCAGCAGCAGGAGCTGCACTTTTAGTTGAAGGCTGTGATGGAACAGATTTCTTGCTAGTATCTTTTCCACCCTTGGAGGCCTCTCTTCTCCTCTCAAGAGCATTGTAACTGTTGTTTGACATTCAAGCGTTACAAAAAAAAAAAAAAAACATTCATCAAAAGCTGAGTCGGAGTCCTTTAAAATGACAGCTAATGAAATTCTCAATTAGACATGGATAGTTGAGGCTCCAACCACGTCATTAAGTAGTGTCATGTAGCTTAACTATTTCTGAGCAATTACAGAGATTCAGAGATAAATATATAAGTATCTGCAACATGTTTACATTCTTATTTTGTTTTGCATAATTCTGAGTTCAAGTACCTTGGTGATAAGTAAAAATTACGAGCTACTAAGTTTACAATACTCACACACAATACCAACATAGTGGCAGATCTAACCTACTTGAGAATGAAGAAAACTAAAGAAACAAACACAAAGTGCTTATCAAATGATTGGCGTCCAAATTCATGCTGGGAACAGAACATTGATTCTTAGGAGATCTTTAAAATAGAAACCAAATTAGCAGTACAAAGAAAAGAGATGATACAACATTACCCAAAAAGAAGGCAGGAAGAAGAAGAAGAAGAAGAAATAAAGCAGCTAGATATACCAGAAATTATGAAATGAATACAGCAGAGTGAACCACAGAGGTAGTTTTCCTCAATTGAGGTAAGACAGAAAGTTCGGGGGGCAGTCAGGTTCAGAGAAAACCTGTTGATAGATCCTCCATTAACAGTGTCACAGTAGCGCTTCATCCACTGCATGAATTCCAGATTGTCCAAAGGCCTTCCTTTTATCAGCTTATTAACTTCAATGTGCTATACTACGACAAACAAAGACTATTAATCAACTGGTCAAACATAATTTTAGGAGAAAACGAAACTGCTACCATCTTCAAATCTCAGCACCAAAAAAGGAAAAGCAAAGAACCTTGTAAAATTGTCCAATTTCATATTCTAGGAGACAATAAATATGTTCTTCTATGAGATGAAACAGGACCTTTCCCCCAAGAAAAAAAAAATCCTTAAAAACTAAAGCAAAAGGGAGAGGGAGAGAGGACCTTGGTGATTTTGAGCTTGTTGAAAACGTCCTGGAGGACTTTGTAGTTCTGAATCATTTCATACTCGGTCTTGGCATCGAAATTGACCTTGTGCATCGGCACAGTTCCTGGATGAACGGCGTCCATCAGCTGGCACTGGACCGCACCTGTACATGCCTGTGTAGAAATGATTTTACGAAAATTCACAATTTGCAAGGCAAAAACAAAACAGAGAGAGAGAGAGAACGGCGAAAAGGATCTAGGGTTCGTAAGGCACGTTGAGAGGGAAATGGGAAAGTAGTGTACCTCCTCGACTTTGGTGAGGTTGAGATGTAGCGTGGAATTAATCCAAGTTAAGATCTCCGATCTGCCGACGAAGTAAGCCGAGTCCATCATCCCTATGTTCGTCGCCATTCCTCTTCGAATCTCTCCGCTCCTTCTCCTGAATCGATATCGGCGATGTGTGTGTGCGCGTGTGTTATTTGAAATGAGGGGAGAGCGGGATGGAGTGTTCTTTTTCTTAGCAAGTACTATTTGATTATGATTATAGGTGGACTACTTTTTTTGACACTGAGAGATTCTAGCGGTTTTATGCTAGAAAGGTATTTTGGGCCGTAACGATCTCAAGGCCCAACAAGTGAAGCAATCTGCAGTCTGGCCCATTGTTTATCAGGCACCATTTGGGATTTCGACACTGACAGTTTTGTTTTTCCCAGCCGCATGGATGCCTCCCGCTGAAACAAACACTAGTACCGGTCTTATTTCAAAATCGAGTTGATTTGTTCGGATTGTAGTTTATTTGTAAATTTTTAGTTGTTTACGTCATTAACATATTTTTTAATTATTTTTTTATCTTATATGTATATCATATCAAAAATTACTGCAGTATCTTTTTAAAAATCATTCCAAATAATCTACTATTCCGAACACACTCACGTGATATTTAAA